GCTGCCCCGAGCACAGGGAGGGGGAAAGAAAGGTAAAATCTGAGCTTTATTTCTGGCTCTGAAGTTAAGTGTCCTCTAAGATGTAATTGTTGATTTCTTTTGTGGCAGAGTGGGGAGGGACTGGCCCAGGCTGCCCAGGGAGGTGGGGGAGTCCCCAGCCCTGGAGGAGTTCAGAAAATGCATTGATGTGGCACTTGGGGACGTGGTTTAATGGTTGTAGTAGTGTTGGGTGATGGTTGGACTGGACGACCTTGGAGGTCTTTCCCAACCTTGATGATTCTGTGATTGTTTCCTAGCACCCCAGCTCATGAACAGCCTTCCCAGGAAAGCTGCTGCTGCAGCAGGTTTGGGTCATGCTGGACACTTTCCACCTCAACTAGTCCTCAGAGTAACTCCTACCTGCCCTGCAGGTGTTGGGGACAGCCACGTGTGCCCACTGTCCTCCACATGGGCAGCAGCGAGGGCTGTGCCAGCAGCAGATCCCCACACCTATTACTGGGCACAAGATTTGGGTTGGGAAGACCCTAAAACCTCAGACCATGTGTCTTTATAGCTTAAACAACCAGCCTTTGCTGCTGGGGCTGGTGGCATCTGCTGGGGGGTGGGCAAAGAGATATTGCCCTGGGTTAGCTTTGCTGCCAGCCCAGCACCACAGGATGAGAAAGAGCTTGAGGGGCTGGAGTGGGTCCAGAGAAGGGCAGTGGGGCTGGGGAGGGGTCTGGGGAACACAGCTTGTGAGGAGTGGCTGAGGGACCTGGGGGTGGTTAGTCTGGAGAAGAGGAGGCTCAGGGGAGACCTTATTGCTCTCCACAACTCACTGAAAGGAGACTGGAGTGAGGTGGGGGTTGGTCAGTCCAAAGTCCTGTCACGTGTTCCTGCTGCTGGGAATTACTGCTCCTGTAAATGAGAGGTTTGAACCCAAGTCTTTTGGGCTGAGCTTTCCTTTAGGAGTGTTCCTCACAAGGTGTGACCTTTGGTGACTGAACGGGGTTTTATTCCCATGAACCTTCATGGAGTTGGGGCTCTGTGAAGCTGGGGGTTTAAATCGAGATGCTAAAGTTCAGAAAACAATATATCACCTTTGACAAACACAAAATGTGAGTTACAAATAGCTGGAGCCATTTCCACAAGCCATTGTCTCTTGCTGAGAATTATTTTTTCTTGAATAGAAATCTTCCTACCCTTTAACTCCTTCAGTGCTTGACTTGCACAAAATCCCATGCCCCCATTAGATGTGTCCCCTCCTCAAAGAGTCTGTTCTGCTGAGCCATTTCCAGGTCTAGTTATTAACCAAAGATCAGTTGGCAGATGCCAGATGGAGGAATATGCTGCAGGAATCCTGTTTGAAGGGTAAACTGGTTGAATTTCCCATGCAGATTTGGCAGGAGAGGAAAAAAAAAACCAATCTGATGTTCTCCTGAGCTCCATGTTGGCTCTGAAGATGGGCTGAAAATGTCTCATGTCCCCTCTGTGAATAGCAGGGAGATAAAGTTGAGAGGATTTTTCAGGTTGTCTGAATTATTCATAGGGTGATCATCAGCTCATTATCTAAATGTATTTTATTCCTGTGGCTGTGTTGTTCTGTGAATCTCAAAATGAGGAGCACCTAACTCTAAATCCCTGGGAGGACTGACAATCTAATAGAGCCTTAAAAAAAACCCTGATTTTTTTTTTTTGCCATCATAGTGCCAAAATGTTCATGGCTATTTTATACCATGAATAAATTTGATCTCCTTGCCTCTTCACGTGTGAAAGGCAGAAATCAACCCCCCAGCCTCATCCTGGACCTCGTGCTTTGATTTGTAAGAGGTTTGGTCATGAGGGTGAGATGCCAATACTGAAAAGCAGAGAGGCAGGACTCTGTTCCTGGATGTGATGGATGAGTTCTGTGAGAGAAGGTTCAAAGACTAGGATCAAAAGCACAGAATTCATTTTAGATTTATTTAGGAAATTGAGTAGGATTGTATGAAAAAGGCCAGTGTAGGTCACCTGGGCCAGGCAGGTGGGGAGCAGCCTCAGGAAGGTCTCTGGTCTGGTTGGATGAGGATTTGGTGGGCAGAAGACCACGAGGCTCAAGCTGGCAGGTCCTGCCTGGCCTGGCAGCTCTTCTGTGCTCTCAGTGGCGTGGCAAGAGGCCCAAGAAACTGTCCTACAACACAAAGCAGCGACTGTGGAGAGTCCCTCAGAGCTAGCAAGGATGCTTCAAATTTCTTCTTATTTCTCAGGGGTACGAATGGGATTTGGACCCAGCTCCTTGGCAGCTGAGAGACTCCTTCCCAACCCCATGCTGAGTGAGTCTGACCACAGCAGGAACTTACAGGAAAACAAGGCTTGGAGCTCATTTGCCTTCTTTCTTTCACTTTATTCTCAGGGTCCTACTGGTGTTCCTGGTCCCAAAGGTAACCAGGTAAGTGCCTTGATGATCAGCAGCTTGATGCTCCTTGTCACACCTAGTGGAACTCATGTCACCAGAGCTTTAGCCACTCCTAGGTTACATTACAGAGTGGAGAGGGATGGTCCTCACCCAGTGATGGATCCCTTCTGTTTAAGGGTGGGATGAAGCTGTTCTGCTGGTGACTCTTTCTACCGAGGAAGCCCAGAGGATGCAGTTCCACTGGACACTGAACATTTAGCTGTCACTGCAAACCTGCATCTTCTGTGAGCCCCAGAGCTGGGGAACCTGCAGTTTAGATCCCTGTACAAGGAGTGCCAGTGCCAGGCTGTGATGTCCCTCATGGCCACCCCACCAGGGCTCTCATCTCTACGAGTTCAACTTTGCATCCAAGTGCCAGCTTGTTGCAAAGGGCACCTAGTCCTTGCAACAGGAGTGCCCTCCTCAGCAGGGGAACACCTTTAGGAAGAGGGAACTTCCTCTTGCTGGAGCAGCTGTATGGGCTGCTGAGTGTCCCAGTGTCCCTCAGGAGCTGAGGCTGAGTGAGCATTACTGTCAGCAGTCTTTGTGCAGTGTTAATTCTGGTACCTCACTTTCAGGGCATTGCTGGAGCAGATGGCCTCCCAGGTGACAAAGGAGAACTGGTAGGTGCCCTTAAATTCAGTAAATGGACTCCTCAAATAACAGATGGGTCTGGAGAACATATATCAAGAACTAATTTAGTCAGAACTAACCATCCAAGAGCTCCAGCCCTGCTGGTTGTGAAGAGGAGAAGGCAGCTCAAGTCCTCCAGCCACCATATCCACGGTGGGCATCAGCTGTCCTGTTGTCTTTGGGAAGCAGCAGGTGGCCACCGTGGCCTTCACAGGACTGGGGTATTCAGCACTCAGTGGTCATTTTGCTCCTCAGACCAGTCTCCATTCCCCATTCCCCTGCCCAGGGGGGTTGGTCCATCTGAGGAAGGCAGGTTGCCTGGACCTGCGTTCAGCACTGGCACCTGGGCAGGTCTTGGTGTCCGTGTCCTCTCCCTGGTGTCCCAGGGCTGACTCTGGTCTCCAGCTTCCCAGAGCCCAGGAGGTTGGACTTTAGGTGGGCATTTTCTGAGTGGATTGTTGGTTTTTATTTCCCTTTCCTTTCTCACAGGGTCCCTATGGTCCCCCTGGCCAAAAAGGAGAGGTATGTATCACACATGGGGGGCTCATGTCCTGAAAGGTTTGGCTGTAAAGATGCTTGTCTCATCTTTTGGTGATCTAGCTCCATAAACTGGGCTGGTGCTGCTTCCTAGGAGCACGTTTTCTTCAGGGTCATGGTATAAAATCTATGACAACAATTTGTTGTGGCATTCCAAATATTCAGTTGTGCTTGAGAATTTTGCTGCAGCAAGGACCAGTATGGGCCATGGTAACAGGTGTAAAAGCACCCATAGGATCTAAGAAGTGGTCAGTCCAGTCAGTCAGGGCAACCTGAAGGAAGGTTTAACTTCCCCACGAGAAAAGAGTGCACCATGCCTTCCATTTTAAATGGTGATTGTTTCTATTTCTTCTTCATTACAGCCAGGAAAAAGAGGAGAACTTGGTCCAAAAGGTGTCCAAGGACCTAATGGGACAGCTGGAGTACCAGGGATCCCAGGACACCCAGGGCCCATGGGGCACCAAGGGGAGCAAGGCGTGCCTGGCATCACAGGGAAACCTGGGCCTCCTGTGAGTATTACCTGCTTGGGGTGGGTAGTTCCCAGCTCCAGAGCTGAAGTTCCCCAGAAAGGATGTCCTGGAGAATTAATCTTCTCTCCATGGCCAGGGGAAGGGGCTGGAAGTTGCTGTTCTTCTTCCAAAAGCAAGTTACAAATTGGTCATTTAAAAATACAACCCCAGTTAGACCTTTGTCATGGTCCACAGCTCCTGTTTCATCATTCAGGGAAGACCAAATAAACCCCAGCTTAAATACCTGGCCTAACATTGACATTAATCTCTGCTGTTAGTGTGACAGAGCTTTTAATTTAATTCATGGTAATTCTGTTAATTGCAGGGCAAAGAAGCCAGTGAGCAACATATAAGAGAAGTCTGTGGGGAAATGATAAATGGTGAGTCTTGCTGGAAGAAAATGGACTTTAATGACTGTATTTAGCTGAAGATGAGTAGATCCTGAACGTAAGATGGCTCCTGAGATCTGTTATTTTTCTGTCTTAAGTGAAAAAAAAATACATGGACTTTTAATGTCAGGAAATTATTCAGGAGGTCACCTTCTTGTCTGGGATATCTTTCATTTTTCTGTGGAATAATGCCCCCGTTGTGGGGCAGGGCCAGCTCCCAAGGAGTGGAGATCTTCCTCTGGAATCCCCATTTTTCATCTGGAGGTCATGCTCACCGTTTGGGATGAAGTTAAACTCTCAAAGCTTGTTGCAGAAAACCTCAGTATTGTTCTTTAGAACATCTAGACGTCTTTTAAAAGTGGTTTAGGAAACGGGGAGGTATCACTGGCTTAAAAACCTGCAGATTTCTGACCAAAATCTCCCTCTGTGAAGAGGTGAAAAACCCCCAACAGCCCCAGAGGAGGCGAGAGGACAGATCTGGTGTCTGCTGCAGGCAGAGCAGCGGGTGTGGTGGGAGTGGCAGGGAGCAAGGGCTGCCCCTCTGCTTGACGCCCTGGCTGGCAGGTGACAAACTGCCCAGCAGAGGGGGGAGCAGGTTGGACGGGTGGTTTTTGGTGGTTCCTTCCAGATCAGATTGCACAGTTAGCTGCTAACCTGAGGAAGCCTCTGTCCCCTGGCATGACCGGTCGTCCCGGCCCAGCTGGTCCCCCGGGCCCCCCAGGAGCGACGGGAAGCGTTGGGCATCCTGGTCCTCGTGGGCCCCCTGGGTACAGAGGGCCCACGGGAGAACTGGGTGATCCTGGGCCCAGGGGTAAGTACCACTCGACCAAACCTGCTCCTCCCCAAGTGCCAAACTGGGGCCAGCTTCAGCAGGGGAGGAGGGTGGGTCAGGCCCTGGAGTTCTAGAGGGCACTCCCGCATCGTTAGGGATGCAGAGATCCCAGCAACATCCTGAGGGTTTGGAGCTTCTCTTGGTCTTTCCTCTTCCCACCCTTGGCTCCAGCTGCAGTACACAGCCCGTTGTTGAAACTGTCTCTTCATGATTACAGGTGACACTGGTGAAAAGGGAGATAAGGGACCTGTTGGCCAAGGTATTGATGGGCCTGACGGCGATCAAGGACCTCAAGGTGAGGCTGGACAAACAATTCCACAAAGCATGGCTGAAGGAAAGGCTGGAGGCACAGCTCTGCTCTCCTTGGTCCCTGCAGTCCTTGTGGCCGGGTTGTTTTCCTGTGGGCACAGCGGGTGTAGAGAGTTTGGCCAGCAGAACTTAGTGAGCACGTCCCCTCTTCACTCCTGCCTAGTCCTAAACCTTGTGGAGAATGTTTCTGAGCAGAGGCTGCTGGGACAGCCAGACCCTTCAGTTGTTCTTGGCTTCTTCTCATGGCTGTGAAAGGTCAGGAGCTTCCACAGCTGGGGAAGGCAGAACCCTTCTTAACTGCTGGGGTCAGAAGTTTATTCTTTTCAGTGGTATTTCATATACAGTAATTAACAAGTTAATTAACAAACCATGTATCAGTTCATTTAAAGGTGTGCAACCCCCCTGAGGCTCCAGATTAACACAGGAGAAATGAGGGACAATATTTAATTTCACCAGACAGAGCAGGAAGTTCATTTGTAATGATTTTGAGAGGTGGTGGTGTTACTGCTCTGTACCTGGCTATAATCCCAGCTCCTGGAGTCATGAATCCTTTATCAAAAGGTTCAAAGAATAATTTATGCAAATTAATGACTATCTAGCAGAAACCTGGGAGACTAGTCTTTATTTTGCTCACCTATTAAAGCAGCTTTTCTAATTGTGATTACATCTGGGAAATGAAGCTACAGGCACCAAAAGCAGGCTCTGCATCCATCTCATTTCATAAACCCAGAATATTTATAGCCACTTGCCTTAGATTATTCTATAAAATAATTGCAGTAAGCCATGAATGTTTCCTGTCCAAAGGGTGTAAAAAGAGGCTGCTGCACATACTGGATACTGGCAGTATCTGTAAGGAGATCAGTAGTAGATCCACTTCATCACTTGTGTGAATTAAAAGACTCTGGCACCATCTCTCTATCATAATCAAGACAGAAATGGAGATTTTTAGACCCCCTGATGCAAGTGTCCCTCAGGGAGATGGGATCATGTTGTATGGTGTTGTAGAAAGCTTCAGAAGCTGCTTGTTTTACAGATTAGCCTTTTGTGAGTTGTTCTTGGCATCTGAAGGATAAAAGCTTGAGTCCACCCAAAGCAGAAATTATTTTTGCCAATAAATGTATGTCATTGTGAGCAAATTCTGTAAATTAGACAGTGGTATAAAGGAAATTCCTTATCTGTGATGGCAGGGAGATGTTCTGGAGCCTCTCTCTCTCCACTGCCCTGACTCAGAATCTTAGTTACAGGCGAGGTGTGACGAACTGAAGCAGCTGAAGGCCACAGGCTCCCCTGAGGAGCAAACTGGTGGCTGGGGAGCAGGGCCAGTTGTGAGCACTGTTGTCACAGTGACCTGTGAGCTCACCCCTCCAGGACACCCCCTGAGCAGACTGTTCAGGGATGATGTAAAACAGTTCTGGTCACACACTGCTGCTTGTTCAGGGAGTCATTCCCTGACTGAGGCAGCACTGAGCTGGAATCTGGTCCTACAGTGGTCAGCACAAGTCACAAGAGACCCATGTGGTCACAAAAGCACAACACAGAATCTGCTTTCAGCTCTACCAGGAAAGGCAAAGGGAGTCTAAAAAATCCAACACAATTACTCCAGGTTCAGGCTAAATTTATTCAACACCTTGTGCTCAACAGGCTGTAACAAGTCTGGTGTACAGAGACTCATAAAGTATTGTAAGAACTCTAAAAGTAACGTGTATATACACACATAGGTTAAAAATGAAGGGAAGGAAGGAATTCATGGGATAATCTTTTCCCCCTTCTTGTTCAGGACCACCTGGTGTACCTGGAATTGCTAAAAATGGTCGTGATGGTGCTCAGGGTGAACCTGGGCTCCCAGGGGATCCCGGGGCTCCTGGTGCTACTGGGGCTCAGGGGACTCCAGGAATATGTGACACGTCGGCGTGCATGGGAGCTGTGGGAGCATCAACTTCCAAAAAATCATAAAACAGCAACAGAAGTGGTGAAGTGACTGAATATTTAAATAAACAGTGCATTGTAAGAGAACAGAATCCTCCTAGTGGTAAATGGACAGATGTTCCTTCTGTTATGTTAAGTGGAGACTGACACAGTTCTATGGAAAAGAAAGAGTCAGGTGAAAACTTTAATAAAAAGTTGCTTTGAGTATTTTCTCCTCCCACCCCACTCACAATTATTTTCCCAAATTTTTACTGCCCCTTCCCTTTCTCCCTTTCTTCAAGAGCCCTGCAAGAGGCAGCGTTGTGCTTTTTGAGCACCACTTGGCTGTGCAAACACAGAATCCCCTGGTGCTGCTCCCTCTGAGGGGGGTTTGTGCACTGGGATCCGTGCTGTCACTGCTTCCAGCAGTGGAAATCAGGTGTTTAACTAGCCCAGATTTTGCTGGTTTAAGATTCTGGCCTGAGTAAAGACCATGGCTTATGTATGTGCTGTCAGTCATCAGTGTCCAGATTGCACCTCCAATACTTGCTGAGATAGTAAATAATAACCCTCTTGCAATCCAGTCCTGCAATAGGTGTCATGTATATATTTTAATTTACAGGGGAGAATTTGTTAATATTTCCATATGATAATAGAGGAAATTTAAGTAACAGCATTTTCATGACCTCTACTTAAAGCTATTTGCACAGTAATTGTGAACAAAACCCCAGCTAAGAAAAGATGCTCTTCTGAAGTCCAGCCAAAACCAACTGTATGAACTCTTGTAAAAATAAAAGGAGATTTTTTTTAACCTCTTCTTTGTGATGTTCTAAGTGTCATTCTACACATCAAATGGAATCAGCTGAATTCCATTGGCCAGAACTAGATTTCTTAGGGCTGTTGGGAAAGAAATAGCAGCACAATTGTCCATTGGTGTGATTTAAACCAGTATTTGCTTTTGGAGACCCTTCTGTACCTCATAACCTGCTAACATCATCTCCTAAAACCAGGGTAAAGCCCCTCTCTGCTCACACACTGTCCTGATTCTACCCTCTGTGCTAAAGCCTATGAACACAGGAGTCATATTTAGCTTTAAATATTAAAAGGGTTTGTGCATTTAAATACTCTACTGTTTACAAAGTGCCACTCTTGGCCTAAAATAACAACATAAGAAGCTGCTGGACAGTTGTGTGATAGACATTAAAAAGAATTCTGTGTTTAAAAAGAATGTTCACACCAGTGTATTCCTCTTTGGGGCCAGATATGTTAAAATATGTATGAAAAATGGAAACTTCATCATATCATGACAGTTTAGTAACTAAGCATGCACTCAACCACAACAACCTTTAAATTTTTAATGGAAAAAGGGGGCACTAGAATATGCTAACTTTAATTTTCTCTTTACACTTGAGGAGGACATTTGCATCTAGTAATTAAAATAACAGATTGATATGCTACAACTATTCTTATCTGTGCTGGAGTGTCTTTAAAAAAAAATACCACAACAAAAAAAACCTTGAAGCAGAACAACAAACAGAAAAAGAACACATTTTTTTTACAACTTAAGAGAAAAATAGTTGTTAAGGACATTTTTTTGTAGCTTGTGGACCCACAGCCCCTTTAATTGAGCATGGAGTTCTAGTGCTGGCAGCTAACTTCCATTGCTAGTTGGAATAAAGAATAGCTTCTTTAAACCTCTATGGGTATGGCTTTTGCAATCCATATGGATGGAGGAAATAAAGCCCAGTGTGGGGCCTGTGAGCCACAGGTGTCACCATTCAGGGCAGTCAGTTCAGAGGACCTGGTCTCCATAGCCATGTGTGTTCTCCTGCACTGGGCACGTCACAAAGGAGTCTGAGCCTGCTAGCTTTAGCCTCCTGCCTGTTTTACCACAGAACACAGTCTCAAATTCCTAAAAAAATCAAAAGAAAAGGAAAAAAAAACCACAATTATGCTTTATGTAGACAGGTACTTGGGATGTATGTGTGTGTTTCAGTAGTGTCTGGGGAAAAATATAAAATCCAGCCTTTAACAGGAAGTGCTGAGGGGCCAAGCTGGTATCTAGACAAACAGGTTTCCATCTACACACTCCATTTGTTTTCCCAAGACACTCAGCAGAGCCAAAATTACTCTGGGGCTGCAACTACTGGTATGGCAGCCTGGGAGCTGCTTACAGGGCATGTAACCCTTTAGTCTCTCCCCCACTTTGGGATGGAGTGGGCACAGAGCTGTGAATCCCAACCCTTAACTACTAGGTCATGCAAACTAACTAGAAGACAACCCTGTGAAACGAGCAGGCAATGAAGGGTGAGGAGGAATATTTGAAGAGGGCCTCAGTTCCACATTGCTGCCCAGACAGTATCATGCTCAGGAATGGGACTAACTAAAAAATAAATACCTTTTTAAATGTCATTTGGAAGCCTGGCTGAGGACAGCCTGTGGTTTCACACTACTGAACTGAACCAGCAATAAAAAATAAGAAGTAAAACCTGAAAGGCTCAAGGACTCAGTGGTCCCTCACCAAGAGCATCAGGCAGGAGCGTGCCCTGCACTTGCAGCCCTGTTATACCAGCTCTAAGACATCTCACGTTCCTATCAAGAACAAAAATGAACTGAGAAGTGAAACCTGTTTGAGAGCATCACCGTGCCTTTCCTGAATGTACTTCAGAAATGCAGTTGTCCACTGCAGAGTCGTGGCCTTGTCAGTGTCCACGGTGCAGAAGGGAACCAGCAGATTCAGCTCATCACAGCAAACCCGGATGCGGCGCCTGCAGGCAAGGGCAAGGAGCTATCAACCCCAGGGTGAAAAGGAAGGGGAAACAAGGCAAAAAGGACCACTCACAGTGCTACAAGGCTCTGAGGGTGTGTTTTGGTTTGTGTTGGTCTATTAGTCATGTTATACTCAAGCTGCATTTACCAAACTGGTGAAATGTTTTGCAGTGCCTCTCTTTGGCTGTTTATAAAGCTGACAAGGAAACCACAAGGAAAACCGACGGTATTTTTTTTCCTCTGACACCTGCATGGCTTTGCCGGGCAGGTCAAACAAAGCCTGCCAAATGGACACTCTCCTCTGGCTAACGACAGGGCGGTTACAGTACTTAGGCTCGCCCCCGCGCATCACCTGCGGTCCCTCTCCAGGCGGTTGTGCCTCTCCCGGCGCTGAGCGACCCCGTCCTGCTCCCTGCCCTGGGGCTGCAGGCTGCCGGGAGCC